AAATTTTNGACGTGCAACTGACAGAAATCGTCTCACAGCTGCAACAGAATGGATACCAATTTTCNGATCTCTTGAATGCTTTTCANGAGGATTGGGAAACTATCGTNGATCACTTNGATATCACGATCAAACAGTTGTTAAGNGATTATGGAGTCAGCTTAAANAAATTTGTGACGATGACGGGAGCCACCTTGCAACAATTACTNGACAAGTTTGGAATAGGTTTNGANGAGTTTGTGAAGGAAACGGATTCTACTTTGAACAACATTCTTTCCACTTTNAATTACGACTTGAGNAGTCTGGTTACNGACTTCCATATTGCATTGTCNGATATNGAAAGTTTGTTCAACATACCTTTCAAAGACGTTGTCAAGGAGTTCGATCTNGACCTTCAATCTGTAGAGAAAATGTTCGGTCTTACTGTATCGCAAGTTATCAAGCAATTGAATATGGATATTTCCAAGTTTCTNAGTGTATTCGATATGTCCATACAAGAGTTTGTGCAACAGACAGGTGCTTCTATCAAAGCCTATCTTAAACTGGTTCAACACCACCTTTAAAGACTTTGTTCANGAGTCCAATTTAGCATTACAAGAAATATTGAATATTTTCAACGTCGGATTACANGATGTGTTNGAAATAGCCTCAATGTCGATCCAAGATTTCATNGACTTGTTTGGATANGACATGAAGACTTTTGTACAGTCATTCGGACTAGATATNAGCGATGTACTACATGTCTTCGGTATTGGATTTGCAGATTTTATCAAGCTCATGCAATATTCCATAAGNGAGCTTCTCTCAATCTTNGANAATATTTTTGCAAACGTGGANGACTTGATTGCATGGCTTATTGGCAACCTTTCNAAGGATGTATGNGAAGTGATCAACATACTCTGCCCACCTTCGTCCTCGTGCTCCATACTGGGAAAGTTCTGNGATCGGAGAAGAACGGCTATTCCATTNAATTATATNAGACAACAAACAAAGAGCCAAACAGGGAATCTGTACATTTCTGTTACCAGTTCGAATCAAGGCAAACGTTCTGCAAAGGANAGNAGCTTACCAAACAGCAACAATGGTGGCAGNAGTGGNAATGGTCTAAGTTGTTTTCCNAGCAACTCCAAAGTATATCTNGACAAATTACANAGNAAAACTATGGAACAGTTGCGAGTCGGAGATATGATACTNAATGCNGAAGGAAAGCCCACCAAAGTCATTGGTTGGTTGCANAGAAANGAATATCAAGAAGGAAACTTTGTCCATGTACACTTTGTCAACAACAGNAANAAGCTTACCATAAGTGGAGATCATTTGGTATTCTCATCAAAAGGAGTGATCAAATCTCGACAGATTGTAGAAGGAACTACGTTGCTGAAAAGNGAAACGGTTTTGGTNAAAGTTCATTCTGTCCAGAGGTTAACAAGNAAGGGTGTTTATGCTCCTCTTACAGACTCCGGAACTTTGTTGGTNGATGGATTTGCTTGTTCTTGTTATGCATATTTTCCGAGTCACTGGGTTGCNAACCTGTTCATCCCAGCGTTATGGAAACTGTTGAAACCTTTTCATATGTANGANGACTTTGTTTCACTGGTAACAGCAAGTGTCTTCAATTTGTTTTACTTTTTCAAATAAAGATTCTTTCGTTTTAAAGAGATAATAACAAACCACAAACAAGATAAATATGATAAGATCAGGTATTACAGAGTGACAGAAAAGGTGGTAGAATGAGCCATTCAGTCGAGCTTCACTTAAACTATCGAGTATGCGGCAATCATATACACGAATATGATACTGCAAACAACGACATAGATCACTAGTATCCTCTAGGGTTTATTATCGATGCGATGGCCAATCAGATTCAATGAAGCATTTAAAGCGTCGAAGCTTGGCTCAAATGCTGTCATTGCCAGTTTTCAATTGTAAGGAAAGCATTGCAAGCAACGAATCAAAGTAAAGCCTTCGTTGAGAAATAGCTATTGTCCGTTTCGAAGACATTTCGATCTCACTACAAAATTGAGTGGCAAGTGAAACCAAAGTCAATGGTTTCATTTCTCCCTATTACTTTATACAATAAGAAGGCTTCCATCGGAGTTGAACAATTTACCTATAAGCAACTCGTTCGACGAATATTATGGAAACGAAAAGTCAACTTTTATCTCCGTCCAGATATACAACTTGTTTTGAAACACGAACAAACAAGTTTGCTCGAATTTGAAGCAGCAAAAAGAAGATTTTGCATATGTACAAGATAATCGACGTCTTCATTTTGTTAGTGGCATTTTACGTATAAAGAGACTGTAGCATAACTAGCTAATATACTTCAAACTGTTCTAAAAGGCCTGTGTGAATAAAATGTTCTGCAGGTAGATGGTAAGCTTTGCTCTTTTTCAACACCAAACAGGTGTGGAATCAAAACCCACAAAAAACTTTGGGTGCAAGCTCACTGATTCTACTGAACAGGATACAAAGTACGAATAAAAGTAGTCATAGTCGAAGAGTTGAAAATTCGAACTCCAAGGCAACTGAGTTCAAAGCCAAGCAGGTTTTAAACCGAAAAACAGCTTTCTTGTGAAAAAATAGGCTTGTGTAAAGACGACTAATTTCTAAGGAAAAGAACGCTGAAGATGAATTCTGTAACTGTTGTCTGATGCCGCAGCAATCTTTCCAGTTCCGACTCAACAGTTGTCAAATTGTAGACAGATACTTTAGCTACCCCTTTCTGGTTTTAGTCTTATTCGTCACCACGCTCTTGTGCTTATTTTTTCCAGTATAAACATTAACTGCTATAAACACTCGTGACTTATTAGTCTTCGACATTTTGGAAAACCTTTAAACTTGCTCTGAATCGTTTACGTGTTCTAGTGTATGCCAAGTATAAGTGATATTTGTGGATACTAGTTGCAAAGAAATGAAATATTCTACTTTATAATGTTTCTTTTTTCTTGTTTGTTTGTTTCTAATATCTAGTAGCTCAAAATGTTTGATAGTTTGATTCAAGATTGTCTACAACCAAGTGATTCACATCATGACTATTTCCAGAGTCTTAGCTTCCAATTAAGTATTTCTTGTGTGATATATCTTTGAAATCTGCGAAAGTGCTTTTGACATAGCTTATAAGTAACCGTATCTATTTCGCATGCATTTGAAGGATAATATGCCTTCACTGAACAATTAAGTATTGTAAATTACGAATTCTAAAATAGACCACTCTTGAGGGATTCTAAACTATTATGCTGAGCATCGAAGCTGTTTGTCTTTTCAGATCATCGTTTTGTCTCTTCTGAACACTTGATATCGTTGATCACCGGAAGTTAAGGGAATAGTTTCAACAACAACAGTAACTATAGATAATTTCTTTCCGTTTCACATTTATAGAAGCGTCCTCGAAATCTTTGAGTAGTCTGAACCGACGATATTATAGTTTTCTCTCGAAAAGAACTCTCTGAAATTTATCTCTCAGAACTTGTGCCGTTTTCCTTTTCAATGTTCTTGACGCTCAGGAACGAGTGCCTGTTATTCTATAACTGGCAGTGGGATAATCTGAGATATCTTATTTTGAGACTGAAGTGCTGTTCTATTGTGAGACATTTTGCTTTGAATTTGAATCAAGTCACAGATTGTGAAATATAAACGCTTGAAGAGATAGTTTTCGGTCACTTATTGCTACTTTGGTATTTTACCATGGTCTTTCTATACTCAACGAGGTTTTAGGTGTATTGAGTTTTTTTCCACTCAAAGGAAATAAAGTAACTTGGAGGTCTGTTCAAACTTTCTCTATGAATGCCAATAGCGCACAGATCGTGAAGTGATAGCCTTATTTTGGAAGCCTTGTATCAAGCTCATATAAATTTGAATATCTCATTAGAACAGTTGTCCTGTTTACAAGTGCGGCCATGGCAAATATTGTTTCCAGGTAAGTAGTGTAAAATATCTATTAGAACAAACAAACATAGAATGTTGCCATTAGATATGTCGTAAATAAGGTTACACCCTTTTAGTGATTTCCACTTTCTTAACAATGATTGTGGTCTGATTACACACTGTCTTTCTTTTCAAACTTCAGGATGATTTCAGTGCCTTCGCATTCGAAAAATGCTTTCCTTTTTCTATAAGAATGTAAAACTCGATTCCAATGGAAGACAATCCTTTCATTGTATCATTATCGATCAATTGGCCACGTCAACGCTAGTGACGTGGCTCATACCGTTGATTGAGTATATATTGCAAAAAAATTCTTGTCATCATTTACAATTTGTGCTTTCACATTCATGATGTACCGAGTTCCAATCTTGCTGTACTTCCTATTGGTTTTGTCCTTTCAGCTTTCAGTCGCTTTATCTTCCAATTCAAACAACCAGTGTGCTTGTTTATGCTACGGATGTAAAGCATTAGTACTTGATTTGTGCACACCAGGATTTCAATCCATAAATCTAACAACCATGAGT